AAAAAAAAAAAAAAAAAAAAAAAAAAAGGGGGAGGAGGAGAAAGCTGACTGGATTTTATCTCCAAGACACACCTGTGGGGGTTTCCGGTTTCGTCCCTGCTCAGTTTTCATGCAGAATCAGTCATTTTCACTTCATAAGTTTCTTGACACATATAAAAGTGGGAAAACCTGACTGCCAGTGAGAATATCCAACTCTGTGCTCCTCCTTGTGATTTTAATAGGGCAGATTACACATGCAGATGTGAGAGGGGGGTGACTGAGGGAGGAATGGAGGGGCATGTCTACCCTGGAAGGTGCCGCCTCACAGCAGTGAATAACACGTGTCAGACATGTCTGACAGCTGCCATATTGTCCTGCAGAGCTCAGCTGACAAACAGCTCGATCATCTAGCTGATTTCAGGTTTGAACTGCACTTTGTTTCTAAGGAGGCCATGGTAACCAAAAGGTGGGAGGATGAAAGCGAGAATGAAGGCCAGCAGACTGCAGGAGCAATCGCCATAAAGACATAAACGCAGGGGTTATCTATGTGCACAGGTGAAAATACTCAGTGACAGAACAGCAGCAGGACGTGCCAGCACAGGCCCCAAGTGTGTGTGCCATGTAGCCCTGCAGCTCTGTGAGTGCGTGGCACAAAGACCCCCTTCCTGGCAGGGGCAAGCAGGAACCTGTTTTCGAATGGCGGGGATTCCACAACTAAAACACAAATACCAGGATCACACCTAGGATGAAAGCTTGTTTTCCCATGTCCTGAGCCAGCTCTCTAACACAAACCATAAGAGAAACAAGCAATTCTCACTCCCCTCAGTAACTGTGGTTTGAAAGGTCCATTTATTGATAGACACTGGGCCCATTACTGCTAAAAAAAAAATGAGAAAAGGCTGAATGCTGTGCGAGGATCAGTGCAGACGCTCTCACAGGGGCTGGATCTAACAGACTGTTTCAAATGCACTAAAGACCCACGTGTGTTAAGGCATTTTAAAGGCCTGCCCTGTGACACTCAGCACAGCCCATCATATTGAAACCGTCAAAATTGCTGCTGGTGAACAGCAACCGTTAGCTGAGGATAACAGATGACAGGTGGAAAAAATGCTGTATATAGTGCAAGTTAGACCATGATTGTGGTGCATGAGACAGGCTATATGACAGGGGCCCAATGGTCAGCTTCAGGGAAGAAACGAGGTCTGCCTCTGCACACATGCCTTCCTGTAAGAGGATAGTGCGGTGACACTGCCTGCTGATTTGGCTAGATGGTGGCTCCTGGTTTGCAGTTTCACTTTGCACAGCGTAGAGCTGGGCGGTATGACCAAAAATTTATATTATGGTATACGATGGTTTTTTTTTTTTTTTTTATGTATGACTGTGCGTTTACCACATTTTGCAGGACACATTTTTGTATTGTTCCCACATTAACTATATTAGCCATTGCGCCTATCCGCTACCTGGATGATAACAAATGGCTAACGTGTTTCTTGACTAATTGCTTATAAATTTCCTTTTCTTATAAGGAAAATGCATTGCCTGGTTTTTATTGCAAAGGCTTTAATGGGCAAATTACCTCAGTTCATATGTAGTGTGCTGACATTCTGCACTAATACATACAGTACCCGTTCATCAGTTAAACTTCTCCTTCAGCCTCCCACCACATGCACAGAACTGAGGAAATCCGTCTTTTGTTCTTATGCACCAGGAGTGGAATATATTACAAAATATATTAAATTTAGACTTGCCTTCCCTGAATGTTTTTAAAAATCTCTTTAACTCTGAGCTTAAAGTGTTATTGTTTCATATAAATTAATTTTATTCTAGGTATTTTTGAATATTTGTATATATTTTAGTTTGTGTTTATATTAATTGTCTCTGTGCGTATGTATATGAAACTTTTGTCTTATTTTTCTTATTTGGTGCCATCTTTGTCTTGGAAGAAGAGATATTGTATCTCAATGAAACCTTCCTGGTAAAATAAAGGCTAAATAAAATAAACAGCTAATGTTAAGGTATGTGCCGGCCAAGTTAACATTTTTTATAAGTATTTATGTATTTTTATGGATGTGTGCTGAAGTTCGCCGGCGGATCCAGGACCGTAGCAGTGCGTTTCACTCCGGAGATACTCAGGCATACAAAAAGAGCCGGTACGATCTCCGAAAAGCCATTACATACGCAAAGCGTCAGTACGCCCACAAATTAGACTCTCAGTTTAACAACACAGCAGACGCTCGTCGGATGTGGCAGGGCATTCATTCGATCACGGACTACAAACCCCGGACACACGCAGACACAATTACCGCCGCTTCACTCCCGGACGAGCTGAACGAGTTTTTCGCTCGCTTTGAGCTTACTAACTCGAACAAGCCTGTGCGTCCCCCCGCAGTGCCGCAAGATTCCAGCCTGAGGCTCTCCGAGGATGATGTGAGGAGGTCTTTTTCCCAACTCAACATCCGGAAAGCACCTGGCCCAGACGGAGTCTCAGGTCGCGTCTTAAAGACATGTTGCGATCAACTAGCTGCAGTCTTTACGGACATTTTTAATACATCTCTGAAAGTCTCATCTGTCCCCACCTGCTTCAAGCATTCAGCCATCATCCCTGTCCCAAAGAAAAATAAAATAGACTGCCTTAATGATTACCGCCCAGTAGCACTTACTCCCATAGTCATGAAGTGCTTCGAGAGGCTGGTGCTAGAACACATCAAAGACACCATCCCTGACAGTCTGGACCCCTTCCAGTTTGCCTATCGTAGCAATAGGTCCACAGAGGATGCCATCTCCATCACCCTCCATGCCACCCTGTCCCAACTGGAAAACAAGAACTGTTATGCCAGGCTGCTGTTT